ATGGCTTTTAAATGCAGTCTACTAATTAATTAATTAATGCAAACATGTTAGCACAATAGTCTTATCTCCACTATATTCTCAAATGCCATTTCCCTATGCAGAGCCCAGTCACGGGCTCCCTCTTCCACAAAACTTCCTAATCCCCTTTGCCCAGACGGAAACTTACCTCTACCCTTGTCTGTTCCTCGTTCTCTTCCTGTTCAAGTCTAAGGTCATAGCATGGATGTTTATGCAACTCTCTCATCCCCTCTACTAAACTACAAGATTCTTGCAGTATGATCTACCTCTGTCCTACCCAGAACAGGTGAAAAGCAAAACCTGTCAGTACGTCTCAAAACTAAGGTTCAGCACCCAATAACATCACCACCGTCTGGGTGTTCGGTCATGTAAACTCACAGGTCCCGCTTAATTACTACTACATCTAAGACTCTGGAAAGAGGTTCCTGGGATCTTGGTTTTAACAAGTCTAGGAGAGCAGGATGCAAACCAAACTTTGAGACTACTGAGTTGTAGAGTAAGTGCTCCCTCGGCCACCGAACATGAGCTCAGCTGCATAACACACCTTAGCTCCACCAAGAAGAAAAGAACGAAGAGCATTATTCCATGGACAATGCTGTTGGTTTCTCCTGTGATCCAAGCCTCGGCTTATGGATGTATAGGTCGTGATCAGCTCTAGAGAGTAGTTCCTAATGAGACTCATGGAAGGGGTACTTGAAAGCTGTGGCAAGACCATTTCTAATAGTGTCATGATGGAATGCCAGTATTCCTGGGATGCTCGCCAGAATGGAGGTAATTATTTTATAAAAGTCACCAGAGTCTCAACTCCAGAGTCTGAAATAAATCCACTTACTCTGCAAGGCGACGCTGGAGAGTTCTCAAATATGATTTACTGTAGAAGAGGCAGATGAGTTTGTTAGGAAGGGATAAAGGCCACGAAGGCATCGAAGGCCTGGTTTTATTTGCCACCAACACAGGAGCGGCGCTAGCCAAAGTCAAGCACGTCTGCACGGCGCTGAATTGCAGTCGTAACAATAACTGGAGACAAACAGTTCATTTTATGACAAGAATGTATCGTGTGCGTTTTTTTTTTTAATACTTGCTAGGGCAAAACATACTAAAAAAAAAAAGTCTGCACTGTGGCTTCCAGGTTGCAGTCTAAAACCAGCAGGGCTTACTTAAAACCCAGAGAGAGTTTAAATAAACCAGAATGAGGACATTCTGGAGAGTAATTGAAAGCAGTCAATTACTAGAACTATCTTAGAAACGGGGCAACAGTAGAGGGTTTCGAGACTGGCGACATTAGTGGAAGGAAACACACCCATGCAGTCATTAAAAGTAAGGAAATCATTAACACAAGCGAGTCATGCTGGGGAGGATGGCGTACTGAAGTCTCCGAGGAAACCAGAGAAGGAGGGATCCTGGGGATAGGCACACCGACAGAACAGGGACGCCAGTAAACTTCAAGTTGTACTTCATTTGTTTGGGTCGGGGCTTCTATTGAAAATCTGCAGAAAGATGTGACCTTCTTAGGAGAAATGTAAGGACAAACATTTTACCTGTGATTCTAGGAAGTTCAAGACTGGACCCAAACGATATACTAAGAAAAAATGTTCTTTTTCACACATACATACACACACACAATGCTTTTTTTGGGATAGCAGAATTCTAGTTGTTGGAAGCCTAGAGAAATCAACTGGAGAAGAATCCCACAGCAAGGCGAGGATGGACTGAAGGGAATGGTGCTTGACTGTGTACTTTTGAGTAGTAGCCTTTGCTTTGACTGGGAGTTTTCTGTTTATATGTATGTGGGTGGGTATGTATGCCCAGGCGAGCAGAGTCTCTTCTGTCTTTCTGTCATGTGTGTTCCTGACTTGAATTCAGGTTGTCAGGCTTAGCAGGGCAGCAAGTGTTCATAGCTGTTGAGCCGTCTCAATGGCCTTGGCTTGACCGGACATTTCATGTTTGTTGTGGCTGTTTTAGAGATGCCTTTGCTTTGTGGCTAAAAAGTGTAATGATAACAATCAATTCGAAGACTCAAATAATGCCAAATGTGGTAGAGTATACCTCTAGCCCCAGAACTGGAGATTCAAGGTCAACCTGGACCCCTTGTTTCAAACAACAATAATAGTGATGAGTCTAGGTAATTAAACCTCACAATTTGTGTGGAAAAGAAGGGGTGAGATGGAATGGTGAAAGACTAAGAAACACAGGGACTGGAGAGATGGCTCAGAGGTTAAGAGCATTGCCTGCTCTTCCAAAGGTCCTGAATTCAATTCCCAGCAACCACATGGTGGCTCACAACCATCTGTAATGAGGTCTGGTGCCCTCTTCTAGACTGCAGGCATACACACAGACAGAGTATTGTATACATAATAAAAGAAAGAAAGAAAGAAAGGAAGGAAGGAAGGAAGGAAGGAAGGAAGGAAGGAAGGAAGGAAGGAAGGAAGGAAAGGAAAGAAAGAGAGAAAGAGAGAAAGAGAGAAAGAGAGAAAGAGAGAAAGA